CTTTCCCTGCACATCGGTGGCTGGCTTGGGACCAGGCTGATGGGGAAATATCTATGGAGCTTCCTGTTTTGCAACAGGGTCAGCCTATTCTTCCAGGTAAGCACAATATCAAACCAGCTAAATCAAGGCACTAACTGATGCCAATAGAGGTGAGTTCATTGTTTTTCATCGAGCCCTCTATTCGTTTTTGGCTGCTGCAACACTTTTTGTGTGTTTTTTTCTGTGGTTACTGGGCATACTAAAGTAAAAGGCTAAGAATCACTGGAAAGGAGATAGGAGAGTCTTTAATGCTTTGAATTTCACAGGTCCTTCAAAAAGACTCCTTCTTTTGTAAGATTTTCAGCATTTGTGTTTGCTTTAAAGTAGAAGCAATAGTAAAGACAGATCACATACGTGAAACTACATGAAGCCATCAAACATGAGTCAGATCACAAATTATTTTCAATAACTGAGGATTATAGCTCCAGTATGACTATTGTAGTGGGTATTTTAGTTTCTTTCTTGTAAGTGGCTGAGACAGGATTCTAGAATATTTTTAATTTCTGGGTGTGGAACAAAACTTTAACAATATTTCAGAAGGCTATAAGTGTTTAAAGCTGTGTTACTCACATAAAGGTTGTATTGTAATTTTAAAGGTGAATGATGCCAAACAATATCAAAATTATCTGGTGGTGTTGCAGTTATATTGTTTTAATGTTTTGCTCTGCCACACCAATCCCTGTCATCCATGCTGGATGTTGTTGCATCCATGCTGGATGTCTCTGCCTCAGCATTGGGAAAGGGATGGAACGTCTGTGCTTGCTCTTCCCTTCTCTCCAAATGGCATTGTTCTTTTTTGGCCTAAAGAAACTACAAGAGCATAGCAAAACCAGTGTATCCTAGGATGGATGTGGGTGAGGAAGCAAGAATGCTGGAGCAGATTCCAAGTCTGTAGGATGTGATGGTAGAGGAGGAAAAGTCATAACAACATGGGTATTACTTGTACCGGAGTTTTAACTAGAGTAAGGTATACCTGGAAAAGATTCCACACTTTCCTATCTTTCCCTCCCCAGAAAATCATATCAGTTGCAGAGGACAAGAATAATGGGATGAGAAAAACTTCCATTCAAAGTTCTCTAAAAAGACTGGAAATTCTTTTTCAGATTATTTAATACTATAGCAGTTCTTGGTGGTACACTTATGATACTTTGTGTTGATCTTGCAAAATTGAAATGGTAACAGGCATGCCAATAGTAACAGCCACTGTGGGTGCAGACTAGAGGAAGAGAAATAAATAAAACTGAGAGGCAGAAGTCCATAAAATGGTTCATGGATGTGGAGAAACATACCATGGGGCAGTCATTCTCCTAATAAAGAACTGTGTCGCCAAAAGCTGTATTTAGACTAATCCATGATGAATGAGCACTGAGATTAAGAACCTGAAAAGAAAAGAAGAAATACAGGTTTATGCCTCATTAATATGTCTTTAAGAGAAAAAAGAAGAGCAAGAGATATTTCCTCCAGTGACATAGTTAGCAGCATCAAAAATCGCTGCAGCTTGGATGGGATGTGTTAGCACATTCACCATTAGCTAGACCTGGCACCATCAGACTGTCCTTTGTTTCGTTCTTTACAAAATGCCTTGGATGATAAAACCTTCACTGCTGATGAGGATATCAAATTGTTCTTGGAACTGTTTTCTGCCGAAAAATTATAAGAACCTTTTTGAGCGCAGAATCATGAAGTTGCCTGAAAGATGGCAGAATGTAATTGAACAAAATAGACAATATATTGTTTGATAAAGTTTTTGCTTCCCAAATATGCCTTTCATTTACCAAGGAAAAAACACAATTACTTTTTGGCCAAACCAATATGTTGAGTATGCTCCAATCCCCTAATGCAGTTTCTGTTCTTCCACAAATGTTCTTTTGCTCAATATTCTGGGACACTGACCTAACCTACCTTCTAATTTTCTGAGTAGGTTGTTTCCTTATTTCTGAGATAAAGCTAAAATGACAGTTTTTTTATTATCAAGCGATCTTGGTCCATCATGAAGTACAGCAGCACACTTAAACTGTCCTCTCAATCTGCATTTTGTAGTTAACAATTTCTCCCTTACACAAGAGAGGAAGAAAAAACTTCTGTGCATTTCTGCCAGGCTCCGTATAAGAGAGGTCATGCTGAAAGGCTTTGGAGAAGGCAGTTTCATCTCTAACTTAGTAATTGAAAGACAGGCTCTGTGTCTTTTTGCCAATATTATATTTCTGCATGAGACAGTGAAAAGAGAACATAGCTTTTAACTTCAGAGAAGATAGTTTGATAACAGAACAGTGAAGAGGTCTGGATTCAATCTGAAAGAGAGATGATGAGAGGCACTTTAGAATCAATTTCTGAATAAAAAGAGGCTGAAACATTTTCTGATTTAACAGCCTTTTTATTCAAAGAAAAAATATCTGAATTCAACTGTAAAGAAGTATTACATAGAGACTTTGTGGGTCTAATGCTGGGGGACTGAGCACCATTTTTTTAAACTTTTTATCCTCAACCATCCTACTTTTGTCCCCTTCTACTCATGTTTTATGATGCAATCTTTCACTATATGATGTTGAACTACTTGCTGGAGATAAAACAGAGTTGGACAGTGTTTACTCGCTGGTGGAACTTTGTTCTTGCAGAAACTGGAAAGTTGATAGTTAATGAAGGAAGGAATTGTAACAATAGAGAGGATTGTTGGCGTCTTAGACATGAAATTGTTGCTCTGAAGAAATTAATTCTCTGCCTTTGCCATGATCTGGTCATGGGGTATTTGTTCACGTGGGTGATGTAAAGAAAAAAATGGAGAAATAAATAGATCAGATGGTGACATGGTAAATGATGTGGATAAAATACAGTATTAATTAACAGTTCCTAAATGAAAACTATTTTGACTATTGAGACAAGTGTACTCTGGGAAAAAGTAGTACATGACTATGCTGCTAATTAAAGACAGCCAAAAGCTTATGTCCCTTACATGTGGCTGGCTTTTGGCCAAATAATAATAGTGGATCTGAGAAAAAGATAAGTGTTTTATCTCTCTGTTTTATCTCTCATAATTCGTAGGCATAAGGGAAAGAATTAAATTTTGTGAATAGTCTTAAATCTTACACATATACTAATTTCAGAATGATGTGTTACAAATGTAAAGTAATCTAATTCATAGACAAAAATAGATGCAAAAAACACAGTTCCTTCTCTTAGTCTCTGTTCTGCACACTCTTCCATGGAATATCTAAATGAAAGGACCATAGAATATCTCAAGTTGGAAGAGACCCATTAAGGATCATCAAGTCCAACTCCCTGCTTCTCACAGAACTACTTAAAATTAATTATATGACTAAGAGTGTCATCCAGATGCTCCTTGAACTCTGAGAGGCATAGTGCTGTGACCACTTTCCTGGGGAGCCTGTTCCAGTGACCAACCATCATCTCGGTGAAGAACCTTTTCCTAATGTCCAACCTGAACTGGCCATGACACAGCTTCCTTCCACTAAGAGAATCACTATTTCCTACGATAAAAGCTGTGAGCATTATAAATACACATAAATACTTATTTTAAAGCTGGGATGATCCCTAGGATTATGAGAGGCAAAAAGAAGTGTAAAAGATTGTGAAAATTACTTTAATTTTAAAGTTAGCTATTTTAAGTCTCTATGCTAGATTTATTAATAGAGTATGTCTATGGTATAATATTTCAGTGGAATTTAGAGGTACCCAGTCATCATCTGGAAATGATCTAGCTCTGATGCTAGAAGCAAACTAGTACTAGTGTTATGCGTGGGCATGTTAAAATAACCTCTTTTAGCTAAATTGTTACCATTATTCAAACTGAATTCTTTAAAGAGAGCTTGTACAGTAACCTGCACACAAATGTCTTGTAAATAAATGTAAGATAATCATAAAAAAAAATGCATCAAGGGAAAAGCTGTAAACACTGAATGGCCTCTTAGCATAATTGCAGATATGGACTGATCATGAGTAAATTTTCACTGGTTATTAAAAGAAGGTGTTTGTTCATCAGAAAAGTGAGTTGTGGGAGCACTCTGTTTCAGAGGGTTACAATCAAGCATCATAACATATTTCAAATGGAAAATGATAATTGAATGATGATAATGTTGATGTTGTTCTGGACCAAATGATCCAGAAACTCTTTTCTACTTGCAAGACAGAGAAACACAAGGACACCTACATCTGGCAGAAGAGCTTCTGTGCCAGAAAATAAAGTTTCCTATGTCCGTTTCATTATGTCTGGACCTCACTTGGTTTAACAAAATACTGTTACTGTATGTTGGCATAAACTTTGCCTTTTGCATGTTACATCTGAAGCTTATAATTGCATGATTTTATCTTAATACTGACTATTATTGGATTCCTACATCTGCATTATAATAATCGAAGTTTTCTACTGATATGTATTTTTTATGTATCATAGTCTTTATTCCAATGTCATTGGATTTTTACTGAAATTTAATTTTATTTGCATTATCAATTCCTATTAAATAACCAATTTATTGAATTTAAGCCCTAGGTGCCCACCTCCCCCTCCCAAATTTACAGCCTTTAAAGAATTTCCATATGGAACATAATAAAGGCAGTCTATACTATCAGTAGAAGATGATATACACAGCCCGGGACAAAAAGCATAAATGTAACACTAAAGCAAGTTTGTAATTTATTTTACTTAATATTGAATAGGATCTTTAAGGTATTATACTCTTAACTGTCCTTGGCATGGATGTATTTGGACTCTACAGGCACATTCACAGCTATTATTGTAATTATAGTAGTGTTTGTGATATGAAAGGTTGTCATTTTCTATTGTCAGTGACTGTCTATAAAGTGCATGTGACAACGGGAGAACTGTGGAATGCTGGAACTGAGGCCGACGTCTATATTTCGGTCTACGGAGAAAGAGGTGATACAGGATCAAGACAGCTGCTCAGGTCACAGAAACCCAAGAAATTTCTAAGAGGACAAGTAAGCAAAAGACAGGACATTTTCTGATATGTTTGGATGACTATTCTCTCTCAGGTGGATGGCTATTCCAGGCAAGGTGCTATTAGAAAAGAATTAATTACTGTATTCCAATGTTTCCCCAAATTCCACAATTAAGCCAAAAATACTTTCCAGTGCTTTTGGAAGACGAAGGTTTCCTGAATAAAATAGATAAACTCTGTACTTTTGTTTTTAATTCTTCTAAAAATTTGATTTAATAAGTGAAAAGGAACCTTTACATTTTATATCTGCATTTCTAATATTGAAATCTGCTGTAATTTAGCCAATTAAGCTTTCAGCGGGTTTCTGTTTTCTGACTCTGATCCCATTCATTTGAATGGAACAATGTCCATTAGCAAAGTGATCAGGCTTACTTCTTTTATTTGAAAAAAACTGTCCTTGGTTTGTTCTTACCTTATGATTAGTTGATATTTCAAAGGATGATCTTGACAGAAGAGTTCTGTGGGTTTATGGGTCTTTGGGATTCAATGGCTGAAGAATGCTCTGCTTTTAGATTTTACTTAATTTTTTCTGATTGATTACAGACTGACATCTTTGCTGTTGAAGCTGTGCACCTTGGGCATTTGTACAAGATTGTTATAGGACACAATGGTCTTGGATCAGGTCAGAAATCTCCCTATATAGTCACGGAATACTGTCTACAAAGTTATTAATGTTTTCTTTGAAATAAAATATTTATTTCTAATATTTAATATATGAAAACATTTTAGAAGTGAAAGACAACGACTTCTAAGGAAACTGTTCAAGTAATACAGTTATCTTATTGTATCATCACAAATTCAAAATATTTTGTGTTCACTTTCAATATACTCTTATCCATTATGTTTAGGACACCATCTGCTACTGTTCTGTAATTTTTGACTAATATCTATAGAAAAACTGTGAAGAGGGGGAGTGTCTGCATCATAAAACATTGAATATGTCTTGTGCAGTTTTTATTATAGATAAAACAGGCTATTATAATTTTAGGCTGATTAGCATTATCAGTTACACTGTAAAGATGCAGATGGAGATTTTGGGCACACTATCTAGTCATTAGACACCCAATTAATGGCAAAGCTCAAATTGCTTGCAGTCACAAGTCTTGTTTTACAAACTCCTGAGCCTAAATATTGTAAAACATAGCTACTTATTTTGAGTCACGATAAGCTGCTATCTAATCTTGTTAATGCTTTGATTGGCAAAAAAAAATAAGTCTCATATAATGACTGTGTTAAATAAGGTGGTGGGGATGTGCAGCACTCATGGCCACGACAGCCATGGAGGGACCTAGCAGCTTGCAGGTGCATAAGCAAACTCTACAGTACCTGGAGCATGTGCTGTCTTCTCTCCAGCCATGAGGACAGTTGTGACTCCAGCAGCCTGCCAGCTGAGCTGCAGATTTTGCAGTTCCAGTGGAAAAGAGAAAGACACAGAAAGTCAGACCTAGTTGAATCTGCCTTTCTTTAACTAACTTTTTTTTTTCTTTAATTTATCCTAAGGAAATGGCTGGTTTCTGGACAAAGTTGTAATCAAGGATCCTATAACAGATCTGGATTATATTTTTCTTTGTCACAGGTTGGTGGTTCATTTGGGCTAGATTTTTAATAAATTTGTAATTACTCATAGTTTTTCTTCTGAAATGTCCTGTCATGGGAAATATATGTTCCCTAAAAAGTAAGCTGAAATGGTCTGCTTTTTCTTATGTCTCTCTGAGTTGTATCTGTCCCAAATCTCTGGTGCATTTGAGCTAATGAAAAAGCAATAAATTTTCCATTTGGGAACTTGCTATTCCTGTGCATTGTGAACTATTCAAGACATACTTTTTTGAAGGCTTAGGGGAGATCTTATTACCATGTACCAGCACATAAAGGGTGACTACCAAGAAGATGGAGAATCCCTTTTCACAAAGAGTCATATGGAAAAGACAAGGGTTAATGGACACAAGTTGCTTCTGAGGAGATTCCAATTGAACTCCTGAAGAATTTTTTTTCCATAAGATCAATTAGATATTGGAATAATCTCCCAGGGGAAGTGATGGATTCCCCTACATTGGTCAGTTTTATGAGTCAGCTTGACAGGGTGCTGACTAATCTCATTTAAACTATACTTTTACCTTGAAATGTTGGACTAGATGATCCTTGTTCCATACAACCTGGTATTCTATGACTCTGTGACTCATTCTCTATATCCAGTACCTTGCATCTGACACCAACAGGTCTGTCCATTCTTGTCATGTGATGCCAAGCATTTCAGAAGAGTGGGTTGCTGTGTCTCTAGCAGACTGATTCTACTTTACTGAAGTTCATATGGAGGTTAACCTGGGATTCTATGAACTCAGGATCGGACTTTAAGGTCTTGTGAAACGGCTGTCACAAATGCAGTGTCTTTCTCATTTGCCTTGCAGCCTGTCACTGAGCTGCAATGTAATTTGAAGCAACCCTATCTTCCCTGCCTTTTCACCTGCAGATGCTGCTGCTCCGAATCTTTTGTTCTATAGCTCATTTCTAATTTTATCTATGCCTGATTAATTCTCAATACCTTACAGAAAAATTATACTTGATAAAGATCAGTGCAAATATTAGGAATGGTAAAGTCCAGTCACGTATGAATCTAGCTGCAGCTTGCCAGTGGCACCTCAATTCTATTTCCTGCTCTCACTTCTCTGAGTGAATAAATAACTGTCAGAGACAGCTCAGAGTGAGCGATGTGCACACTGAAACTGATTTATGTGTGAGTAAGGGCTTTCTGCCTATCAGATACAGTACTTCATCTTTGCCTGACCTAATTTTGATTCTGTATTCTGGATGAGATGAACTGCTATGAAGAGATCTATAATGCTAGCTTCATACATAATTTAAGAAGAGTTCAAATCCATTTCAGGCAGAAAAATACAGGGTATGTGCTAGTTATTGTTAGAGCCTGACGCCCATGCTTGCTGGTCTTGCTTCACAGTGTGTGAATCCTTTTGACTCAAGTGTAGTTAGACTTAACTTATGTAAGTAGATGTGAAGCAGGTACAACGGCAAGGTAAAAGTATAGTTCAGACATGGTAAAGTTGTTGCCTGTGTTAGATTTACCTCGCTTTATAGGGATTTTCAGGACATGCAACAATTTGCATCCTGCTGTAGCCTTCTTGCAGCCTTCAAGCATCATGACCACTGCACCTTTTGTTATTGGTCTGGGATCAGTATGAGTTCTCCAATTTATAATAATTGGCTTAGGCCTTTCTACCTTAGTCCAGAAAAGGATTTATTTAGAAGTTTCATCAAGAATAATCAAAATCTTTTTCACCAAAGTCAATCTCTTTTCACTAAAGCTGGATTATTATATTGCTCTTTGTCAGACTTGAGACTATAATAAATAGAACAGGAAATATCAGTATGCAAGAGAGATGCCAATCAAGGTTATATGACTGAAATGGGTTCTGCTTTGTAGGTGGCTGGACCAGGGACAGGATGATGGCAATATTGCTAGAGAACTGACTGTGACAGATGCCAGCACATTTCCAGGAAGTAAGTGAAAATTGGTGGGGAGGAGAACCCAACCTCACTGCAACTTGTGTGAAATGAAATGAGGATGATCTGTAAATTAATTACGCTGTTTTTATATGTACAGGACAAGAGCTGGAACTCAAGAGAGAGGAAACTGTAAGAATGTACCTTTTTATTTTTATTTAGACCATTCAAATTATGCTTTAATCAGGTCAGTTGTTCTCATGTATGTCAAATTTCCATGTACCATTTTCTCATAAGTTCTCTGCTTTTTGTTTACAAAACTAGTGGACTGCTGAAAAGTGGAAATTTCAGGAAGGCAATACACTTCAGTTTTACAACAGGCTCACCCATGGCTTCATTTGTCTCACTCCAGATAGCAGAGTTGATGCACTTGGTGACAAAATAAACAAATATGGTAATTTATTTTTCGTGTTTAATATCTTTATCAATTATCTGGATGAAGGGATTCAGTGCACCCTCAGTAAGTTTGCAGATAATACCAAATTAGGTGGGTGTGTTGATCTCCTTGAGGGTAGGAAGGCTCTTCAGAGGGACCTGGACAGGCACGACTATAAGAACTGAGAAATTATATGCTTGGTTTTCATACAAAACACAAAAAAATCTCCTATGGTATCTTGTCAGTGGCTTTTGTTTACCAAATAGAAACTTTTTGTCATATGCAGTTTAATGCTGCCACTGAGCTGTCGTGGCAAGGACAGCTACAGTCTTTTGTAACTAGATCCATCTAAGCTAAAAAGTTTGAATTTCCAAGTATAGTTCATTAATAGGGAGTATATATGTGTGTGTGTGTGAGTGCGCCTATATATAAATGTATAGAGATATATATGTAAAATTAATTTTCTTCCATCCTTGTCATTGATTTTAATGGCATTCTTCCAGTTCCTCCTCTTTATCAGCTTCCATGCTACTGTGTTACTAACACTGAACTGTAGTGAATATCATGTTAGGCACACATATTTTTGTTATCTTTGTAGTGATGGAGCTGCTCAGCCTTTCTGTCATCTTCCCAGGGACCTTACACGCATCTTTCTTGAAGTGATAAAACAGAGTCTTTCAGGACACACCAAAAAGTAGATGGAGAGCAGTGCAATCAATACTCGTTAGCATAGCCTATAAAAGCACTTTAGAAAAGCTGCACCAGGAAATTGAAATGTATAATGTGGAGAATCAGTAACATTACAAACATTGAAAGTGGGTGTTACTCTTTTACTAAAGCTCTTATTAGTTAGCAGTTCTGGTCCTTGATTTCAGAATATTTGGTGACTCATATACTGATTAACTCAAGTCTCCTATCTACAGCTTTAGGATTTGCAAGTGTCTTAAATGCCTGAAAGAAATGCCTCCCTCCCCTTTATCTAGTGAGGATATATTAAGCTATAGCCCTATATGTAATACCAAATTATATATGCAGCAGGTGCACAGCGTGGTCGTGCCCTTCCTCCAAGGAGATCCATTTAGGATCACAAACTGTGAATTATCTGATGACAGACCAAACTACTTCATTGTAGGAATTTGGTCTCTAATCTGCACAATTTTGCTGCTTTCTAATGCTGTGTCTTCAATTGGTGGATTTAGACAAATCAGATAATTTAGACACTGCAGAGTTCAAAATCTAACATGCAGAAGTCAAATATACACTGCTGACTGTATCCTGATTTTCATCTAGATGCACTTTCCTTTCTACAAATTAGTGCATTTCTAATGGTATTTTTCTGATGTAAACATGTGACATTTTTATTGCATTCTATACTTTTTGGTACATTGCTATGTACTAGATGTAGAATTCATATGAGTGTTATCTCCTCAATTTTAAATGTGTAATGTGTATAATTGTGTAAGTACCACATCTGATGCACAGATACTAAATATCAGTAAAGATTATAAATATAATTATATTAGAAAGAAAGATTAAAACAAAATTAGTATAAACTGGCTGTTAACTCACTTAGATTGAAAGTCAGAAAAATGAGTAGTGTGATCTGCAGCCTTCCAAGGATTTAGGAATACTTAGGAATTAAACTGGCAATCAAAAAGAGCTTGATTTTTCTGAACAATATAATAAAATTGCCTTGCTATCAGAAGAACAGTTAATGACATAGAAATAACCATGTATGCTTTTTTTATAGTTAAAAGTACAAAGTACACACAGGTATAAAATGAATGCAGGCACCTATCATGCAATTTTTCTACCTTCAGGACAATATCTTTCTCCCTTAATTTATTTCATATTTGTTTGTTTTACTTATATGGGCAGTAATTTCCAAAGCATCTAGAATAATTATATGCAATAGAAGTCCACAAGTACTGAATAGGGAACTGTTGTTTAAATCTTCATTTAGGGGCCCTGCTTCCTTGTTTGTACTTTGAAATAAAGTCCTCTGACATAAATTATCTACCTATGTTTCCTAATAGGAAACTTGGCATTTCAGATATTGGTAGAAGTGTTTATTTGTCTTCTGTAGATCTAAAGCAATATAATCCAAAGGCCTTTAAAGTGGTGATGGCGAATTATATCAGATGATAATTTCGACTAGGGTTTTTTAATTTCTCAGGAAGCTTTATCGCTATTTGAAAGCAGATACCTATTGTGACAGTTACGTGTCCTCCCTATGTTGCCCCAGAACTAGAAACCCCATCTGTATTTTCTTATTTGTGGTGTCATCCCGATGGGCACAATGATCCTTGACTCTATAGTTCTTACGCTCCCAATGACACCCTGAAAATCTTACTTTATGGACACCCTAGGAATCCTCCAGAGATAACTGCATCTTACAAATGGGCAACATAATGTATTGGTCGAATAGTTGCTTAAAAAATCAGCTGTTGCTGCTGGGAACAATGGACATGGCACTACCTTAGCTTTCATCAGTATTTTGCAGCTATAAGAGGTAATTGTTTGGAAAATTGGGCAGTTTTAAATTTTAGAAGTCAGGAGCAATACTGCAAGATTTGCTTTACAAATTCTAATATGGATACAGAGAAAATGAATTATCTTTTCCTACCTGAGAGTTTTATGTTCCCTAAATGATCTGTTATTTATCATATAAATTCATTGCTATAGTCCAGTCCATTATGCTGGAGTCTTCAGCTCCTTTTCATGGTTTTTTTTTTAAACATATGCTGATCAAAAGGAATTTGTCCCTTATCACTAGCTCTTAGGGTTTTTCTTCTCAAGGTAGTGAAGCAGACAGTAGTCTCTAGATGCCCTTTCCTGAAGAAACGAAGGAATTCATTGATCAGAGAGGTCAAACTGTTGAGTTAAACGCTTGATTCACTCTTTTCCCTTAAAAATGATAAATCATCAATTGTAATTAAATACAAATATAAATTAATATACTCTCATACTTCTAACATTTTTTTCCTTTAACTCTTAGGTTTTTTTGATGTAAATGTTAAGGGGGAAAATGTATGTGTATTCAGCAGTCATCAGATGCCACATCTTGCTCTTGCTCTTGTCAATGGCCATGTGATTGGAAAGGTAGGAAATGTTACTGATTTCTGCTTCATAACTACATTTTATCATCTGATTAAAAATAATGTTGCTTTTAATCTGTCTAATAATTGTGCTTCCAGTCAGATAAAGAGCTAAGAATTGTAAAACTGAACCTAGGAAATTGCCAATGGATAGGGAAACTTAAATGTAGGGCTTTGTTTTCTCACAGTTTACTTTTTACTCTTTGGTAGTATTTTTTAAATAGACAAAATGATTTGATGTAGGAATATTTTCTCCCTTTCTCAGCACTTGCAGTATATAAATAGGCAAATAGAGTTGTAGAAATTAGTTCTGATTAATCTCTTCTACTGATGAGGGAAGATGTTCCCCTTTCACTTTTCCAAGTTCTTCCTCCTATTTATTGAGTGAATAATATCATAGTCAAAGCTAGTCCTGTTCCTCTTTTATATGATATGCATTGGCATTAATGGGAATAGCATACTCTCAGTATAGTTAGATTTCTCAACAGGGATACTGTCAGGCTGCCAGGCAAACTGTCAGACCTCCTTGCAGGACTACCTAGTGTTCATGTTCATTAGTGCAATTCAGATACAGAGAATCCCTTGCAGCTTACTAACTGAGTACTTAAACTTGAATTTTCTCTTTTCAGCTTTGCTACTGACATGCTTTATGAGTTTGAACAACCTATAGAGAATCTGGATCTCAATTTTCTTAGTTTTAGTTGTGCAAGACATTCCTTTTCCCAGGGGATGTGCTAAATGCTATAATTTAGAAATTTTTGAGTCCCTGAAATGAAGATAGGTAAAAATAACACAAAATGGCAGTACAAAAATGGCAATTTACCTTATGTCACAGCTTAGACCCAGCCAGCAACCTAGCACCATGCAACCACTCTCTCACTCACTCCTTCTGGGATGAGGAGGAGAAAATATAACAAAAGGCTCATGCATTGAGACAAGAACAGGGAGGGATCACTCACTACTTACGGTCATGGTCCAAACAGACATAACTCTGGGGAAAAAAACATGGGTTTAATTTGTTGCCAAACAAATCAGAGTAGGGTAATGAACCACTGTCGCTGATTGGCTCAGCCTTGGCCAGAAGTGTGTCTGACTTGGAGCCAAGGAAGCTTCTAGCAACTTTTCACAGGATCCAACCCTGTAACTCTTCCCCTGCAACCCTTCCTCTGCTACCAAAACCCTGCCACAGAAACGCGATACTCCTTATGATACATACTTAGTTATACTTTGAGGACATGCTGGCTTACTTGTTTCACAATCGCTTCTAAAATCCATTCAATTTTTCCTTTACTTTTATGTTGAATCTGATAGACAGTTTTTTTGAGCATGAAGCTTTTTCTTCAGAAGTTAGTGCCTTGGAAATGAAAATTTTCCCCAGAAATATTGATCCTTTAAAGTCTTAAAATCACTGAAAAAATGTTAGATGGTGTAAGCCAGAAGTCTTTGAAATTATTTGGCTGATTTTTAGCATTTTACGTTTATTAAAAAAGTAGTTTTATTTAAATATGGGAATGATGGTGGAGTTGATAAA